AACTTTTGTGAAATGTTTTTACCATTTAAAATTACCGTTTTCTATTTGATAATTTGCTAAATAAAAATTATTCCTGTGATGGAAATAATTACTCTTCAGTTTTGTAAAAATCTATTTTTAAAATCTTTTGGATTGTGACAATCAGGACAATTAAACAGTTTTCCCCAGTTCTCATTTTAATGGGAAAACAATGATATATATTTTGTTCAACATGGTATTTTTTAAAAATTTTTTGTTGATTTTAATAAAAAAAATTGTAGCTATAATTTTTACTGTAAAACATCCACTAAAGTTAAATATCTGGATGCAATAAATTTGGGATGAAAGTGTGCCACAAAAATAGTCACAATGCACCAAATCAGGTTTCATTCTTTATGCAAAATAGTTTGGTTTTGATTGTGGGGTGAAATGTAAAAATCCAGTGCTAAAACTGGTCTTCAAATAAAAAGCATTTACATTATTATAAATTCACTCTGTATAGTGAATTCACTGTTCAGTGAAATTCAAGAAACTAAATCCTTTGCAAGCATGATGTGAATTTCTTCTAGAGTTGTGTGAATTACTCACCCAAACACCGCTAGAGAAAACAAACTGTGTTTTCTCCTCGATCCATTGAGTCCACAGCTGATTTGATAACTTGATAGCAGAGTAAAAAGCAATTGTCACTTTATCATCTGTTTTGCCGTCCTTTAAGATGCACAATCCTCACTGTGCAAAACTCATGGATCCATCCAGATACACTGAACATCCTGGTCATTTTCAAGAGGCAAGTGTCTGAGTGGAGGTGAAGTTAATACTGCGGTCACATCAAGCCAAAGAGTGAACAAAGCTATTTCAGACGCGCAGATTTAACGGCTAATCCACTTACTCCTGCAGAAGCCCATTTCTCTGACCTCACAGGCTCCATCTCCATCACAGCTGTCTGAACTCCTATTTCATGGTGTTATTCCATAAAGAAAATGAGGGGGAAACAATTTCCTTCAATGATTGTCCAGAGTTTCAGCAAAAGAGTAAAATCATTTCTCCTTTATTCAAAATATGAATACATAAACACTGCATTCATCAAGCCCCACATACTGCACATATTCAGTTTCTTTTTTTTAACAAGAAAATTGTTTAAAAAGGCCAATGCAGCTCTACTGAACGCAGACACTGAAAATGAGGTGACTTTTGTTCTCAAAGCTTTGCAAACTGATGGACTTACAGTAAATCTGATTAAAGGAGAGTCTTAAGTAGGAAGTTAACAAACAGCTGACGCATTGCTCCAATGGCATCAAGAGATGAACTGATGCAGCGAGACCAAGCGCATTTAAAGGCATAGGACACCACGACACTTCAACTGAATAAAAGTATAGCTCTGATTTATTATTGTTTTTTGAACGAAGGACACAGATGACATGAATAATCATAGATCGTGTACACCAGTCCTCTTCAGAGTCAGTGCATCATCACACATTTAACACAAATGCCAAAACCCACCATATCACTGCAGGAATCATGTTTGCTGTGGTCTCAGTGATCATGTAAACACCAGACCAGACGCATTCGTCAACTCAGTTCACCTAAATAGGTGTTTTTGATTAATGTAAACAAGTTAAGATTGAACACATTTACATGTCGACAAAACAAAAAAAACATTAAAAAAACATTTTCCGATTGATAGGCCTAAAAGTTATCAGAAGCATTACTACAGGGCCAGTTTTCTGGATGTGGAAGAAATGTGCCAGATTACTTCGGTTTACTTGTTTCCAATAAAGTCCATCATCAAACTCTCCTTCAAGCCAGGAAATCACATTAAGGGCTTCGCTAGTGAGATTACCCGAGTTCACCCAGGATCAGGGGTCATTCGAGCCCTCAGACTAGCCTCATCGATATCCAAACACCTACTAATGCTTGCGTTGGATGCAACAGCACAATTTGACAAACCACACAGAAAAACTATTTTATATTAATTGGTCACCAGCTCAAGCTTTTTTGTCCATAAAAAAACAATTATGAATCTGAGAAGGGAAAAGTGCTTGGTCCTAGCTGTCCCTTAACCACTGAACAACAGCATTCTGGGATATTATACAGGCATAAAAATGATAAAATAAAGAATTTTATTTAAAAATAAAATACAGCATTTCAATTTGTAAGTGCAACTGATTTTCATTATCACAAAAAATGAATAAACCTATAAGTGTACACACACACCTTGTGTACAGTAGGTGTATTGATGTGTCATAGTGTTGTTCTGTTTGTTTGTGAGGGCGAATCAAGCCCCTCTTGTAGAAAACACATCAGCTCGTCATTGTTCCCTTTGTTTGGCTGGTATTGAGATCCACATGATTAATGTGTTTTCCAGTTGACATTTACTTCTTTTTCTTCATTGGATTACCTTAGAGAGAAAAACTACATTCAGTATGGATCATAATAATAACATACACAATCTACCACACTCTGTGATGACAACAAACATAGCTGGTTAAAGGAATATCTGAAAATTAAAGGAATTTTCTGAAAGGTTAAAGGAATATCTGAAAATGTCCTGATTATTTGCTCACCCCAGGCCATCCCGTATGTACATGACTCTTTCTTCACACGAAGACAATTAAGGAAACTATTTTAGGATGTTTCTGATACGCATGCAAGTGAACGGGGATCACCATAGGCCATTTTTGACGGTCCAAATCCATACCACGCGACCTCAGCTGACAAACAATCAGTCATTTTATGAATAATAATAATATTTCACTACAAATGTTTGCCTCGGTCCAGCTGTTCGATGCGAGATGGTTGAGTTCACCAGCGTGAGCTACCCAGCATGGACACAGGATCCTACAGCAAGAAGCGCCCGCTGAGTGGAGGAGCAGCAGCGCAGTGCAAACTCTCCTGGGTGTATCTTAAAAGAATAGTTCACCCAAAAATGAAAACTAGCCCATGATTTACTACTCACCCTGAAGCCATCCAAGGTGTATGATGACATTCTTCTTTCAGACAAACACAATCAGAGTAATATTAAAAAATGTACGGGCTCTTCCAAGCTTTATAATGGGAGTCAATGGGTATATTTTTTGGAAGTTCATAAAAGTATCCATCATAAAAGTACATCTATCCATGATAAAAGTACATCTATCCATCATAAAATTACATCTATCCATGATAAAAGTACATCTATCCATCATAAAAGTGCATCCATCCATGATAAGTGTCCCAAACGGTTTAAAAAAGATCTATTTATAAAACTTTAAAACGATGTGTGGCGTAGATGTAAGAGAAGCGTGGAGTAGCGTCTGACGCAGACGCCTCTCGCAGTTTAAACACACACACACACACACACCGTAAGTTCACTTGCGTTCGGCCGTCTGCTGGAAGCTTGTTATTTAAGTCAATAAAGTTTTAAATATGGATATGTTTTTTTACACAAACGCATTGCTTCACCTTAGAAGGCCTTTATTAACCCCCGGAGCCGGTTCGAGCACTTATCTCGGACAGATGTGCTTTGATGGACTTCCAAAAAAAATATATCCATGGATGACCACTTCTCCACTGTCTGGTGCAGCTCGCTTTGAACGGCAGTACGCGGCCTCTGCTGAGGTTCACAAAGGCAGACGCCACGTGAGCGCTTGGAGACATCACTTTACACGCGTTCAGCATAGGGACGTGATATGATGCACTACGCTATGAAAACCATTTCTTTAAGGCACGTTTGTGTGGATCACATGATTTTTTTTTTTAACAGACAACATTGGTTCAGCACATACATACAGAGTCTGTTCAAAAAAATTTTTTGGAAAACGTTATTCGCACACAGACGCACACGTCTATTTTCAGTCGCAAATGCGAGTGCAACGCTCACACTGTCGAGTCCTACCTCATCCGTGAACAGGATTCATGACTTCCAGACATCTCTGGATGAGAAAGACAACATCTCCCATTGTCCCACAGTCCTTCATAGCATCATCAAGCTTCCTCTTTGCTTTCGTTTTGAAAATGCGACCTCTGTCGGAGAAAACGTACCTTTAAAGCTTCTTTAAAAAAAAAATCCTGGAATGTTTTCCTCTAACCTCGATTTCTTTGTGGTTGAAGAAAGAAAGTCATGTATATCTTGGATGGCGGGGGGCCATTAGTACATAATCAGGACAATTTAATTTTTGGGTGAACTTTTAAATGGTCCTACGTTAGCGGTGACTGTAAACCGGTCCGATCTGTGTAGGGTCGGTCCCTCACCTGTGGAGCTCCACATCGTGCGGCTGAGCTTCTCTCCTAAGAGGTAAAGAGGAGCCATGGAGAGGGACGCGCCGCCCAGGAACACACAAAGGCCCATGGGACTCAAGTGAGCCATGATGGGGTACACCCAGATCCCTGAGGCATGGTGCACCCACAACACCCTGATGAGGGACAGAAGCACACGTCAATGCCGATGGGACACACGAGAAGAACCAGGGTTCGGTTTCACAAAGCTATTTTAGACCGGTCTATAGTGTTAGACAAGTCTAAAATGTGCTCATAGACTAGTCAAATGCAAGTTAGACTGTTTCACAAAAATAGTAAATTTTTACTTAATTTAGACCCAAAAATGTAGACACCTTTCCCCCAGGCTAACTTAGGACTAAGACTCTGTTACCTTGGCAACAGAGTCTTAGCAGCAACAATCAGTTACATTACAAATAGCCGAAAGAAAAGGGAAAATGGCCCTCACCCTATATATTCATCACCATTTCAGTGTCTTTAAGTTTCTCTTGGGGTCCCCCTCCTGTGTTTGCATATTTCCACTTAAATATTTTTTTTGGGCATCTTGAACAATCTTTTCTGTATGTCTCTAATGCTCCGCTCAACGGTCAGATTAACGCTGTTAACTGTCGTAGCAATCTGTGTCCAAATTAAACATGTCTTCTTGTAACTACATTCTCCGCTAAACTTCGCAAGTAAAATGTCCTTGTAACTGTTACACTCCTCCAACACACACATACAGTGAGGAAAATAAGTATTTGAACACCCTGCTATTTTGCAAGTTCTCCCACTTAGAAATCATGGAGGGGTCCGAAACTGTCATCATACGTGCATGTCCACTGTGAGAGACATAATCTAAAAAAAAAGAATAATCCAGAAATCACGATGTATGATTTTTAACTGTTTATTTGTATGATACAGCTGCATAAGTATTTGAACACCTTAGAAAATCAATGTTAATATTTGGTGGAGTAGCCTTTGTTTGCAATTACAGAGGTCAAACGTTTCCTGTAGTTTTTGTTTGCACACACTGCAGGAGGGATTTTGGCCCACTTCTCCACACAGATCTTCTCTAGATTAGTCAGGTTTCTGGGCGGTCACTGAGAAATACAGAGTTTGAGCACCCACTAAAGATTCTCTATTGGGTTTAGGTCTGGAGACTGGCTAGGCAACGCCAGAACCTTGAAATGCTTCTTAGTTGATATCAACAATTCAATTGCTACTAGTATTTTTTTTTATTTTTGATATCTTAAAATGTATTTCTGATATCAATATTTTTTCAGATATCTAAAATGGCTTTCTTACTAGTAACAGTCACATTCATGTTATCAATAATTAAATTTTCACTAGTGACAATGTTAATTTCTGATATCAAAAATGAACATTGTTACTAGTAGCAATTCAATTGTTGATTTCAAGAATATCATAAATAAAGGTTTTTACTAGTAATAATTGTATTTCTGATTTGTGAAATTGGTATTTCAACTAGTAAGAAATCAATTGTTGATATCAACAATTGGTTTTGAATGACAGCCTATAGTGACATTTCACTAGTGAAAAAGGAATAAAGAATAAATGTCTGACTTACTACCGGCAATGCGAACCAAGCTCCTGCTTCGGTCATACAGGAACCGGACAGCCCTTAGCAAAGGACCCCGGACCCCATAGCACACTCCACAGGCCGCCTCGGGGGACACAGTCGAATGCCCTCTCCAAATCCACAAAACACATGTGGACTGGTTGGGCAAACTCCCATGAACCCTCCAGCACCCTGTAGAGAGTATAGAGTTTGTCCAGTGTTCCACGGCCCGGACGAAAACCACACTGTTCCTCCTGAATCCGAGGTTCCACTATCGGCCGTATTCTCCTCTCCAGTACCCTGGCATAGACTTTCCCAGGGAGGCTGAGAAGTGTGATCCTCCTATAGTTGGAACACACCCTCCAGTACCCCTTATTAAAAAGAGGAACCACCACCCCGGTCTGCCATCCCAGAGGCACTGTCCCCGGTTCGCATTGCCGGTAGTAAGTCAGACAGTATCCTGGCATAGACTTTCCCAGGGAGGCTGAGAAGTGTGATCCTCCTATAGTTGGAACACACCCTCCGGTCCCCCTTATTAAAAAGAGGAACCACCACCCCGGTCTGCCATCCCAGAGGCACTGTCCCCGGTTCGCATTGCCGGTAGTAAGTCAGACAGTATCCTGGCAAAGACTTTCCCAGGGAGGCTGAGAAGTGTGATCCTCCTATAGTTGGAACACACCCTCCGGTCCCCCTTCTTAAAAAGAGGAACCACCACCCCGGTCTGCCATCCCAGAGGCACTGTCCCCGGTTCGCATTGCCGGTAGTAAGTCAGACTTCTTCCCGGTGCATGTTGGACTCTGGCAGGGCTGCCCTTTGCCGCCGGTTCTGTTCATAATTTTTATGGACAGAATTTCTAGGCGCAGCCAGGGGCCGGAGGGTGTCAGGTTTGGGGACCACACGATTTCATCTCTGCTCTTTGTGGATGATGTTGTCGTGTTGGCCCCTTCACAACAGGACCTTCGGCATGCACTGGGAAGGTTTGCAGCCGAGTGTGAAGCGGCTGGGATGAAAATCAGCACCTCCAAATCCGAGGCCATGGTCCGCAGTCGGAAAAGGGTGGCTTGCTCACTTCAGGTTGGTGGAGAAATCCTCCCTCAAGTGGAGGAGTTTAAGTATCTTGGGGTTTTGTTCACAGGGAAGGATGGAGCAGGAGATTGACAGACATCGGTGCAGCTTCTGCAGCAATGCGGTCGATGTACCGGTCTGTTGTGGTAAAGAAGGAACTGAGCCGTAAGGCAAAGCTTTTGATTTACCGGTCAATTTACGTTCCTACTCTCACCTATGGTCATGAGCTTTGGGTCATGACCGAAAGGACAAGATCCCGGATACAGGCGGCCAAAATGAGCTTTCTCCGCAGGGTGGCTGGGCGTTCCCTTAGAGACAGGGTGAGAAGCTCGGTCACTCGGGAAGAGCTCAGAGTAGAGCCGCTGCTCCTCCACATCGAGAGGGTTCAGCTGAGGTGGCTCGGGCATCTGTTCCAGATGCCTCCTGGACGGTGGTCCCAGCTCTTTTCAGGTCATTGTCCAGCTCCTCCCGTGTAGTTCTGGGCTGATTTCTCACCCTGCTTAGGATCATTAAGACCCCACGAGGGGAGATCTTGGAGCCCCAGTCCGAGGGAGACTGACAGTTATGTTTTCCTTCTTCCATTTTCTAATGATTGCTCCAACAGTGGACCTTTTTTCACCAAGCTGCTTGGCAATTTCCCTGTAGCCCTTTCCAGCCTTGTGGAGGTCTATAATGTTGTCTCTAGTGTCTTTGGACAGCTCTTTGGTCTTGGCCATGTTAGTAGTTGGATTCTTACTGATTGTATGGGGTGGACAGGTGACAGGTGCAGCTAACAACCTCAAACAGGTGCATCTTATTTAGGATAATAAATGGAGTGGAGGTGAAAAATTTTAAGGCAGGTGTTCACATACTTTTTTGCAGCTGTATCATACAAATAAATAGTTAAAAATAATTTATTGTGATTTCTGGATTTTTTTTTTTTAGATTATGTCTCTCACAGTGGACATGCACCTACGATGACAATTTCAGACCCCTCCATGATTTCTAAGTGGGAGAACTTGCAAAATAGCAGGGTGTTCACATACTTATTTTCCTCACTGTATTGTCCACTAAACTGCACTCAGCGGTTGAATGTGCTTACTCTATCCGCCATGTTTTTTTGTTTTGAAAAGTCTTATTTTACCCAGAATGCATTGCAGTGTAGTCCTGCTTAAGATAGTCAGAGTCTTAAGTGCTTTGTGCATTGGTCTGATTTAGATGTCTATCTAAAGTCTGACTATCTACTATATCTAAGCCACAGTCAAAGTCTCTCTTTGTGAAACCGGCCCCAGTGTGTGTGAGCGATGCAGGCAGAGCGAGTTTACCAAGACAAATACAGAGCGGAAAACAGAGCCAGCACACCAATCCCATTAGCGCGACTGGGATACGTGTGATTCTGCAGGAACATCTGGAGCAGCAGCAAAGGCATGATCACCGTGTGCTGGACGACACACAGATCAGAAGAACACATATCAGCATCTGTTATTCATCACTTTAATGAGCTCACTGTTACAGCACTTAAATTATTAGTGTTTAAATTAATACATTTTTAGCTAACTGTGATTTGTATATGTAATGAAATGCTTATAGTCACCTCTGATAACAGATCACTCTAAATGGATTAATGCATTTCCTGTAAAGCTGCTTTTAAATGATGTGTATTGTGAAAAGCACTACACAAATAAATGTAATTATTTGAATACAACACAATTTAATTGAATGTCACACCCCTAATCAAGGGTCGGTCACTGCCATTTATAATAGTCAATCATCTTCTCACCATTGCATGGTTCAGCCAGGTGGGAATGATCTCATCTAACACTTTGGGATACACCAGCTCCCGGTCGTACGTGTAGAGACTCCAGAAGGAAGCAAACACAAACTGCAGGAAGATCAATACACAGTTCACATTAGTGGCTGACCAATACATGTTTTAAACAGCTGTTGATGATAACAACATATAAGTAATATAATTGAGAGAACACAAGATGATTGAGATAAATTATAAACACTAATGGTATAAAAAAAAATGCATTGAAGCAACAATTCCTTTTGTTATTTTAAGAGCTCATATTGATGCTGACATTGAGATGGCATGAAATATTTGTACTATGCATTCAATAGTGTTTTTTTTTTTAAATAAATTGAATTAGACTATTGGTGAAAAAATTGCAAAGGTACCAGTCTAAGATACACTCTCCTGTACATTCGAATACATCTAAACCTAAAAATATCATCCATGTTTAGTGTCAGTCATTGACATACTATAGAGACACATGAAATTACACAAACTGGGACATACTATAAAACTTTCAAAATTCATATAAACACCCAGTTAATGTTTTTATCATTATATTTTAATATTAATAGTACAGTCAGGTCCATAAATATTGGGACATTGACACAATTCTAATCTTTTTGACTCTATACACCACCACAATGGATTTGAAATGAAACGAACGAGATGGGCTTTAACTGCAGACTTTCAGCTTTAATTTGAGGGTATTTACATCCAAATCAGGTGAACGGTGTAGGAATTACAACAGTTTGTATATGTGCTTCCCACTTTTTAAGGGACCAAAAGTAATGGGACAATTGGCGGCTCAGCTGTTCCATGGCCAGGTGTGTGTTATTCCTTCATTATCCCATTTACAAAGAGCAGATAAAAGGTCCAGAGTTAATTTCAAGTGTACTATTTGCATTTGGAATCTATTGCTGTCAACTCTCAATATGAGATCTGTTGAGTCACTATCAGTGAAGCAAGCCATCATTAGGCTGAAAAAACAAAACAAACCCATCAGAGAGATAGCAAAAACATTAGGTGTGGCCAAATCAACTGTTTGGAATATTCTTAAAAAGAAAGAACGCACCGGTGAGCTCAGCAACACCAAAAGACCCGGAAGACCACGGAAAACAACTGTGGTGGATGACCGAAGAATTCTTTCCCTGGTGAAGAAAACACCCTTCACAACAGTTGGCCAGATCAAGAACACCCTCCAGGAGGTAGGTGTTTGTGTGTCAAAGTCAACAATCAAGAGAAGACTTCACCAGAGTAAATACAGAGGGTTCACCACAAGATGTAAACCATTGGTGAGCGTCAAAAACAGGAAGGCCAGATTAGAGTTTGCCAAACAACATCTAAAAAAGCCGCCACAGTTCTGGAACAACATCCTATGGACAGATGAGACAAAGATCAACTTGCACCAGAGTGATGGGAAGAGAAGAGTATGGAGAAGGAAAGGAACTGCTCATGAACCAAAGCATACCACCTCATCAGTGAAGCATGGTGGTGGTAGTGTCATGGCTTGGGCATGTATGGCTGCCAATGGAACTGGTTCTCTTGTATTTATTGATGATGTGACTGCTGACAAAAGCAACAGGATGAATTCTGAAGTGTTTCGGGCAATATTATCTGCTCATATTCAGCCCAATGCTTCAGAACTCATTGGACGGCGCTTCACAGTGCAGATGGACAATGACCCGAAGCATACAGCGAAAGCATCCAAAGAGTTTTTTAAGCGAAAGAAGTGGAATGTTATGCAATGGCCTAGTCAATCACCTGATCTGAATCCGATTGAGCATGCATTTCACTTGCTGAAGACAAAACTAAGGGAAAATGCCCCAAGAACAAGCAGGAACTGAAGACAGTTGCAATAGAGGCCTGGCATTAGGGTTGGGAACCGAGAACCGGTTCTTTTCCAGAACCGGTAGTGTTTTTGAAAAAATACTGGAACCGTGCAAAATTCCTAAGTTTCGGTTCCTAAAACGGTTCTGGTGCGATATGAGGGCGAAGTCCTGGGAGTAGATTATCCTTTACCGTCTCACCTCAAGGCGCAGACAGACAGAGAGAGAGAGAGTAGAGGTGCATGATTAATCTTTAAAAGATTTCGATTCAAACACCTACGCCGTCTTATTCCTAAATGACAAAAACTTCACCACTGAAGTTGCGATTTGCTCTCACACGCGCTGGATTTATAGTACACACACGCGCGCGCGCCGAGTCACGTACATTCAAATCTGTTTGCGCTGAGAGAGAGAGAGCAGTTGTCGACATGAAACTGCTTTATAATCACACAGTATCAATATTTATGTTACACATATTCAAATGATTAACGTTACAGAAGTAGTGAGACTATAGTTTGAGTAGGCTAAACATTGACGGTATCAAAAGCGCAGTACGTAACTTTTTTGTGTTCATAATTTACAAAATGTATACAATGAGCGAGTGCATCATGAATGCTTTTTTTTCAAACCGTGTTTTTGTCTTATCTTGAATCACTACGTAAAGCCTGTAATAAGCGTTAATACTCGGACTTGTTTAGACTGGATGGCGGATCGCAGCCGCTGCGGAGTAGCCCAATGCCTGCGTGACTCGTCATGAACATAAACAGAGAGAAGTAGCTCCGGCAACTATGTTCTTCCGCAAGACGCATGCACTGCAGTTCTGTTTATTAACTGCTATTTAGGGCCGATTTATCCAGTAATAATGCAATAATTAAAGTCTTTATAAATCAATAATTCAAACTGTTATTAAAAATAATCTGTTCTACACACATATGTGTGTTAAAGCATATTCTACCCCTTCTGAGAGGGTACTGTTGGAGATACAATAAGAGGTCCTAAATTATTCTAGAGAATGCAGAATTGTTTAATTTCCTTTTTATTTTTTTTGCAAACATTGATAAATAATATGTTGAATTTGTTTACATTACCAGTCTGTTAAACTCATTTTTCAAGTACTATAAGAAATAAACACAAAAGGGATTGTGGATTTTTCTCTTATTAATATTTTTAATTGAATGGGAACCGGAACCGGAACCGGAATCGTTTGGAGGAACCGGAATCGGAACCGGAACCGGAAAATTTCTCACGATTCCCAACCCTACCTGGCATAGCATCTCCAGGGATGAAACCCAGCGTCTGGTGATGTCTATGCCTTCCAGACTTCAGGCTGTAATTGATTGCAAAGGATTCGCAACCAAATATTAACAAGTGAAAGTTTAATTTATGATTGTTAATCTGTCCCATTACTTTTGGTCCCTTAAAAAGTGGGAAGCACATATACAAACTGTTGTAATTCCTACACCGTTCACCTGATTTGGATGTAAATACCATCAAATTAAAGCTAAAAGTCTGCAGTTAAAGCTCATCTCGTTCGTTTCATTTCAAATCCATTGTGGTGGTGTATAGAGCCAAAAAGATTAGAATTGTGTCAATGTCCCAATATTTATGGACCTGACTGTATGTATTTGATCTTTTAAAAAACCCAGGGACATCATTTGCACAGCTAGTCATGCTCGAATGTCTCTGCATTATTTTACAGAATTGAATAAATGAGCCAAACCTTTCAAATGTAATTTACTCAAAGGAATAGCCTAGATACTCTCTTCCACATGATTACAGAGAAGAAGAACTTACAGCTACAGTGACTTTATAAGACATGAAATATGTGTTACTTTAACAGTTTTCACCTGAACTAGACACCAACTCATTTTCTGGTTATCACAAATGTTGAAAACAGTGGTGTACAATTTTTATTTCAGGATTATTTGATGAATAGAAAGAGCAACATTTATCTGAAATGAGGGGGGGGGGTGCATTAAGTTGATCAAAATTTACAGTAAAGACATTTATAATGTTAAAAATCGTGTGAGTAATGATGCTGAAAATTCAGCTTTGATTTAAATTACTCATAAATTAAACTTTACTGTGTATTCACATAGAAAACAGATATTAAACTGGTTAAACTGGGCCTGTACTGGTGTGTGTGTGTTAAACTGGGCCTGTACTGGTGTTAACGTGTGTGTGTTAAACTGGGCTTGTACTAGTGTTAACATACAGTATGTGTGTGTTAAACTGGGCCTATATCGGTGTTAGCGTGTGTGTATGTTAAACTGGGCCTGTATTGGTGTTAACGTATGTGTGTGTGTGTGTTAAACTGGGCCTATACTGGTGTTAGTGCGTGCTGGGCCTGTACTGGTGTGTGTGTGTTAAACTGGGCCTGTACTGGTGTTAACGTGTGTGTGTTAAACTGGGCTTATACTGGTGTTAACATATGTGTGTGTATGTGTGTGTGTGTGTGTGTTAAACTGGGCCTGTACTGGTACTCACAGTGCCGACCGGGAAGGCCAGCGCAGTGAAGTAGAAGTCTCTGATTTTACTGAGCCTCAGAGGAGTGCCGCTGCGAGTGTGTTTCACCGGCACCAGCATGTGCGTCACGTCCACCAACACACACCATCCAAAAAACACCGCCTGCAGCACCTGACACAAAAACAACACACCCACACACACACACACACACACACACACATGTGAGTCATGTGACATGAACACAGTCATAACTACAGCTGTAAAGATAATTTAAAGCAGCACTATGCAGTTATTTTTTTTTACCTTAACTGAATAGCTTCAGAGTTATTGCAATGGTTATATGACTATTTTCGGGTTGAATGTTGGGTGTCTCGGCTTGGTTTGATACGATTTAACTGCATATTTCATGTTTACAGCACAAACCAGCTAGGATACATACACATATAAACACCCTTTGCACAGCGCAAGGCTTAACTTCAAGAAATTATATATAAATTAATTAGGCTAGCACTATAAATCAATTAACAACATTATATCAAACTAATAGTAACATGTTCAGAATAATAACCCTTTTATTGCAGAAGGCTTGTTTTTCAGATAATTAATCTGGTGTTTTTAATATACAGTACTGAGCCCATTTAAATCCATATAATAAATCCTAAAACTAATAAACTGAAGAATTTACATTTGGTCTGATACTTTTAGGTCAAACGGGGTTGTAGTTTTATATTGTAACGTCGTGTACTTTCCCAGAGAAACAGACAGTAGACGAGGATCAGTTTACAAGCATCAAACAGCTGAGGTTTATTTCCTGAACGTGTACAACCTAAAACACGGGTATCAGGAGGTGTCTTAACTGTCCCCAACAACAAAACGACCAGCATCCATCGAGATGTAAAACGTAAACTTTTCTCTTCTCCGCACCACTCACCGTTTTCGCCCTCTCTCTTCCTAAACCCCTCCCCCTTAACTATTTCCCTCCCGGACACCTCCCCCCAACAGCAGGTGGATCAATAACCATATTTATAACAGAATAACAGTGTCAGCGCCACATTGCCCCCTCCTCAGGTTTCCTCGTCCCCGAGGAAGGTGAAATCCATGAAACGCCTGGGCATCCGAAGTGCCTCTCTGGGACGAAGCCGTGATCCAGTCCTCACTCTTTGGGTCTGCTGTTGCCCACTGGCAGGTAGCTGCCTCAAGGGAGTAGTTGGCCTGTACTCCGCCTCCGGGGTAATATGACAGCTTCCACTGCGATGTCTGCTGCCATTCGAACAATGATCAGGGCTCATGGTGCGATCTTCAGGCGCCCCCAACCCAGACTGACCCAGAAGAACTCCAGACGCTCCCGGCGCTGCGTCTCCAGCTCCTCCGAGAGTATCCAGAGTGCCCCCAGGAGCCTGGGTCAAAGGGTCACCCTCTTCACAGCCCACTGAGGTTTCCCACCCCTTGTCCGACGCTGCGTCTCCAGCTCCTTCGTCCGCAAGGTGGGTCGCCCCAGTGGTCTGCCATTGTCCTCTCCTCTTGAAAGGTTGACGTTCTCCCACATATGGTGCCATCCGGTCTCGGTGTAACACCACAGCCTGTCCCCCAGGCCTCTTCCGAACACGATAAACAGACTCCCCAAGCCTCTTCACTACACAACAGGGTCCTACCCAGGCACAATCCAGCTTAGGTGAACGTCCCTTTTTCCTCTTCGGACTATAAATCCATACCAGCTCTCCATCATTAAAATCACGTCCTGAACAATGATGGTCATATGCCCGTTTTTGGCGTATACCCGCCTGCATAGCCTGACAACGAGCAAACTCATGGGCTGACTGCAGCCGGTCCTGTAGCTGATGGGCATACTCCAATCCGGGTGGGACCTTTGGTGCATCTGGCGGTTGACCCATCAATAGGGAGGATGGGGTTCGCAATTCTCTGCCCAGCATAAGGAGAGCTGGCGTACATCCAGTGGTCTCCTGCACGGCACTCCGACTGGCAAGCAGGACCATCGGTAACTGAAGATCCCAGTCCTTTTGATCCTGGCTCACACACAGGGCTAGCTGGGTGGCCAGTGTTCGATTGTACCTCTCTACTAACCCATCGCTCTGGGGGTGTAGGGGCGTTGTCCTTGTCTTACGAATACCCAACTGCTGACAGAACTCAGAGAACACACGGGACTCAAAGTTCCTACCCTGATCCGTATGCATCTCAGAGGGAACCCCAAAGCGAGCAAACAGACCTTCCAACAGGACTTCCGCCACTGTCCCCGCCTCCTGGTTGGGCACAGCATAGGCCTCCGGCCATTTTGTAAAGTAGTCCATCGCGACTACCACAAACCGATTTCCTCGAGGGGTCTGTGGAAAGGGTCCTAGTACATCTACGGCCACACGATCCATTGGACAGCCTACCAGCCGTTGTTGTAGCAGGGCATGAGACCGGCCCGTTGGGCCTTTTTTTGCAGTGCAGGCATCACACCGACGACAGAATGACTCCACATCCCTACGGCAGGTGTGCCAGTAGAACTCTTGCCGAACGCGCTTTAATGTTTTGTTTACTCCAAAATGTCCTACCCCTGGTTGGCCATGCATCGCTTCTAGAACCAAGCGTTGACAGGACTTAGGCACTACTGTCTGCCACCTGGTTACACCTGTCACTGGTTCCACGAATCCTCGCTGCAACAATCCCGAATTCAATGCCAGGCCATCCCGCATGGACCACAGTCCCCTCACCACTGGTCCAAAAGTCATGACCTCTTCCCACGTAGGCCTCCTCCCGGCTTCCACCCAGTCAATGACTACCTGGAGCTCGGAGTCCTTGCGTTGCTCAGCTGCCCATGCTACATTTGAATCAGGCAGTACTGCACAACATGACACCTGCGTCCCCCTCTCCGGGGTCATGTCAGCCGGTTCCTGCATCACATATCCAGCCAGTCGCTCACATTGTGGACAGGATGCCATACAGGTGCGCCTTGACAACCCATCCGCATTCTGGTGACTTTCCCCCTTGCGATGCTGAATGGTGAATTGAAACTCCTGCAGGCGTTCTATCCACCGTGCCACCTGCCCCTCTGGCTCTAGGAAAGACAACAACCAACGTAGGGAAGCATGATCTGTTCGGATCACAAAATGGAGACCGCAGAGGTGATGCCTAAAATGGCTGACTGCCTCCACCACGGCTAAAAGTTCTCGTCGGGTCACACAGTAATTACGCTCTGCCCTGTTGAAGGCCCGACTGTAGTAGGCAATCACCCTCTCTCCTTTTTCCCCGTCCTGAGAGAGAACCGCACCCAGAGCTACAATGCTGGCATCTGTGTCCAGGATGAATGGCAATCTAGGGTCTGGGGCGGCCAAGACTGGAGTATGACACAGAGCCTCCTTCAGGCTTTCAAAAGCCTGCTGCTGTTCTTGCCCCCACTGGAAACGCTGTGATTTCTTTGTCAAGTCATGGAGGGGAGCAGCAACAGTGGCAAATCCAGGGACGAATTTTCGATAATATGACGCTAGCCCCAGGAAAGCCCGCAACTGCCTAAGGCTGCACGGAACCGGCCAATCGCGAACAGCTGCCGTCTTCTGCTCGTCAGTGGCCACCCCTGCCGCGCTTACATAGTGGCCCAAGAAGGTCACGGCTCTCTGCATCAGCTGGCACTTGTCTGGGTGCAATTTCAGACCAGCCTGGGCTATCCTGGTCATGACAAGGTCAAGAGCACTCAGAGCTGATTCAAAGTCTTTCCCATGCACTAAAATGTCATCCAAATAGACCAGACACACTTCTCTCGGAATACCCTGGAGCACCCACTCCATCAGTCGCTCAAAGGTTGCCGGAGCGTTGCAAAGACCAAAGGGCATGGTCTTGAATTGCCAGAGTCCTGTCCCTGTCGTGAATGCAGTCTTCGGTCTCGCGTCGGCACTTAGAGGGACCTGCCAATACCCGCTACGCAGATCTAGTGAAGAGAACCAGCTGGACCCAGCAATCTGATCCAAAGACTCATCAACCCGTGGAAGCGGGTAGGAGTCCTTGACAGTCACCTCATTCAGGCGCCTGAAGTCAACACAGAAACGCCACCCACCGTCCTTCTTGGGGACCAATACCACTGGCGAGGCCCATGGGCTTTCTGATGGCTCTATAACTCCTGAAGCTTTCATCTCCTCTAGACAGTGATTTGCGGCCGACTGTCTTGTGGGGGGTAACCGACGCGCACGTTGCCGGATGGGGGAGGCATTTCCTGTATTTATACAATGTTGTACCAACTTCGTCTGCCCGACATCACTGGCTGAGGCGGCAAAGAGGTTATCGTGGCGTTCCATTACCCGCCATAATTTCTGCTTTTGGAGTTCCTCTAAACCCTCACTACTCCTCTCCCAAACAGCCCTGGCCGCTTGCATCAAAACTGGGTTCTCCCCAACTTGATTGCCGTTCCCACTATCAGCTGGTGGTGAAGCGGTGGAAAGCCCGACCGCAGAGCCAGACAATGGAATCTCTGCAGACCGTAATGTTGGTGACAAACTGGCAGAGTTTGGACCTGGGACCCCCTGGGCTTGTGAGCTAGGATCCAAACGTCCCACATAGCGCGACTGAGGACCCGGCCAAATAGAATTGAAATGAATTGGAACCGAACATTTTCCAGCTAGCGTTAGGGTCGCTGCCTTCAAGTCCAACACTGCAGCTGCCTGGTGCAGGAAATCGATACCCAGGAGACAGGATTCTGGAATCTCAGCGGCCCAAACCCACATAACTGTACTGTGTCCTTCCACAAAGATTTCTGCCTCACAACGGCCCATCAAAGTTGCTTTCTCACCCATGACAGTGACTAGAGGAAAGCAAGCGGTTTGAAGGACCCTTCTTGTCAAGAATTTAGGGTGAATAATGGTGATTGTAGAGCCAGTATCCAACAAGGCACGCACCAGTTGTCCATCCACTTTGGCCTCTATTCGGCAGCATTCTACTGGACTAGCCCCAGCTACAGTCGATCCACATAGAGGTTTTGAAATGTTTGATGGGCCGAGAGCACCTCCCTCTACTCCGGCCCCCGTCCATTTCCCGACGGCGGAGTGGACACCGCCACATCCAGGGTTGCACATTCCCGACGCAAATGACCTGTTTTTCCACAGCGCCAACAAACCACAAGCTCCCTCTGGGAAACATTCACCTTAGAAGTTTGTGAGGGAGCCTGCTCCCCGGAACATGCAGCAAAAACCCTTGGGCGGCCAACATTATTGTTGATTGACATTCCGCTTAGCCGTTCCTCCAATATCCCTTCTATAACCTGCGCTTGATCAAGGGCTTCATCAAAGTTAGATGGCTGGGCTATTCGTACTTGCTGCCGTAACCGATCTGGGGTCAATCCTCGTACAAACGCATCCAGAACCAATGCATCCTTCACACTTTCGCTGAATGTTGGGTAACTGCGATGGGCTAAGTGTCGCAGGTCAGCCATAAACACACCTAAGGGCTCTTTTGGCTGACGGATACGCTCCTGAAACTGCTGCCGTAAGGCCATCGGGGGTGTAGTGTCCCCAAAGCGGCGAGACAAAGCCTGATGCAAAGTGCGGACACTATACACCTGACTTCCCTGGACATCCAGCAGTACCTGTTGTGCATCGCCATCTAAAGCCGCTGCGAGTTGACCCACTCTCTCAGCTTCATCCCAACCATTAGCCCCGGCCACCAGCTCAAACTTCTTCCGGAACGCCTCATAAGAAGAATGTCCATCGTAGCGCCCCAATTTCAGACAGCTACGGGTTTTACTAGACCCCCGGTCAGACATGAGTGTGACGGGCTGCATTGGCCAGTTAGGAAAAGGGCAACTGGTGGGTATGGGTTCTCTGGCTGGAGGCTGGGCAAGCCAGTGGGGAGAAGTAGATGATAAAGTCAGACAGATACCAAAGTCGGAGTGAGTTTCCATTGTTTGTCTCATATTACTCATCAGTGGTAAGTCAGAGTGCTTGTGGTCACAGCTAATTTGGTGGGGGGGGGTTATATGGCAGTGCAGTTGTTGGCCACTGAGCGTTGTAAGAGGGGGTGACTGAATAAGGTTCATTAGTCTGCTCAGCTAAAACAAACGGATTAGCTCGGCTGCCAACAGAGCTATACATCTCGCCAAAAAGCCCCTCTTTGACATGCATACGGCTTGTTTGGGGATGATTATAATTGTAGCTTGAATCTACAGGAACGTAGGAAAAGGTTTCATTCGAATTGGCCCATGTACAGCGTCTCTGTTTATCAGCGTTTCTCTCCGCGATCCGCGTTCCATGCCGGATGTTATGATCCCGGCTGATTTCCGGTTCCGGGTCAGCAGAGCGGCCGCGACCTCCCGCGATCGGAGTGCTCGTGATAAAGTCATGTTCATGAAAAACACAAGACATGCTAAAACAGGGCTGTGGTCTAGTTTTCAGGGAGTATTCTTGATCACATTCGTTCAGCAAAAGTGGCAGAAAAGGATTATTGGGCGATAGCGCGGTAATCAGCACATTTTTCCCCTCACGTGCTCGATCTTCCTCGGTATTGCGCTCATCCCGCCCCTGCCGGGGATCTCCCCTGCTTTGATCTAACTTCTCGGTGGATAAATGAAGCGATCTTACCGGCTTATTCTCCATCGTTTTCTGGGAATCACGAGTAGAAAGTTGTGGTTTGAAAATCCCACTTCTGACACCAGTGTAACGTCGTGTACTTTCCCAGAGAAACAGACAGTAGACGAGGATCAGTTTACAAGCATCAAACAGCTGAGGTTTATTTCCTGAACGTGTACAACCTAAAACACGGGTATCAGGAGGTGTCTTAACTGTCCCCAACAACAAAACGACCAGCATCCATCGAGATGTAAAACGTAAACTTTTCTCTTCTCCGCACCACTCACCGTTTTCGCCCTCTCTCTTCCTAAACCCCTCCCCCTTAACTATTTCCCTCCCGGACACCTCCCCCCAACAGCGGGTGGATCAATAACCATAATTATAACAGAATAACAGTGTCAGCGCCACAATATATTGACACAGTACTGCATACATGAAAAGTTGTAAAACATCAAATGCCAATTCAAAATACAATAAAAGTGACATTTGTCTGAACATTTTACAATTAATTTGATATCATAATCATACAGCTAAATTGTTTAATTGATTTATAGGTCTAATAAATAAGTTTCTATTTGATTTATTATCATTAAGCCATGCGATATGCAAAGGCGTTTTTTGTTTTATTAACGTATATAAAATAAAAATGCTTTGTTTGAGTTTAATGGCTTTGAACCCGCATGTCAAACGCCTGCCTGACGTCACCGGCGTGTCATAATAACGGACGGCAGAGGCAAAGGTGTGTGAAGAACCGCTCCTACCAGATTAATGAAGGTCAGATACTTCCAGCGGCCTCCGTATGAACGCAGACCGGGGTGTCTGTCTGAGGTCTGCAGGGTGCAGTTACTCCAGATAGTGAATATATACCAGCTGAACACGAGCAGGTGCAGCAGCAGACACATCTTCAGCCCAGCGGCAGCCATGACAGTCCTCCTTCTCTTCTTCTTCGGATTGTAACGGCAGCTCGCGGTCTGAATTTTGCACTACTGCCACCTGGAGTTAGTTGGTTAGCAATTACCGTCTATTCTGCCTTGTCCGACCGCTTCTCACTGCACTCCAGTAGGCAATGATCGATAGGCCTACTCCACAAACTGTTATTCCTCATTATTAATAGACTGTGTTTGCAGACACCAATGACGTGTATTGTGGGTGGAGTCCACAAGTTCTGCAGTGGCACTCGATGTAATAAAACAACAAGGTATCTCGAGTGCATATCTCACAATTTTGACTTTATTTCGAATTTCAGTGTATATTTCAAGTTTCAAAGAAGAAATATCAGTCCAGCCTTTTTATATTACATTTTTGACATCTAAACTAAAGGCACAGCAAGAACTGTTTTCTGTTATCGTGTGGGTTTTGACCATTTTCCACCACTTGTTTCATTTTTTAATGCATTTTTATAAGAACAAAACATAATTCACACACATGAATACGTATAACAATACATGTCAGGGGTAAACAAAAGGGGGAAAACGAAGGAAGGAAAAAAGGCCTTTTACAGGAAACCTTTAGCACTATTAAACAGCGGTGTAGTTTTCCTTGCTTTCAAGTTTTTACTTTTTACGATTGTTTCTAAATTAATTTTAACATAAATTTGAAATTGTTACAAGATTGGCATTTTTTCATTTCATATGAATTTATGAATATAGTAACAGGCAAGTATAATAATTCAATCAAATAAAAAGAAAATATTTGTATCACCATCAAATGAAAAACATTCGTTCTTTCCTAAATATTCGGTTCTTGGGACACTCTAAAATAGATTAATAGTTTCAAGGGATTTTTCTTTTCAAAAACACAAATATCTTCCATGGTCACTTTAAAAAGCTGTACCACAAGTGACTTGGGAAACGTAAATGAAACATGTTATGAAACCTCTTTCACTTTATTTGTGATGTAATACTTATAAGGCTTCATCCAAATTTGACTCAGATCAAGATGTTTTTCCCAGTGAGTAACAGCAATATACATTTAGATGGAAGAGGGGAACACACAAGATACATTATTACATCCAAACCTTGTAAAATCCTTGCCCTGCAACTTAATAGAAGAACATTCTTCAACTGTTTGCAAAGAGTAATTTAAAACTATTATTATATTCTAGTAGCCTCTAAAGTTTTTAGGAACTGCATGTAAAACCAAAGAATACTGGATCAACTGAAAAGTTACAAATATGAACAAATTCAGTATAATTGTATAAAATACCATCCTTTTTGATCAACTGTTCCACAATAACTCCCTTTTTCAAACCAGTTCTTAAAAATTTTTTGATTGGTTTCTAACCCCTGTCTCTATTATTCCAAATGGTACATTTATGGGGGGAATTATGACTATACACAAGCGTCCATGAAAGTAATGCGTGTTTGTGGAAACTTGCAAGTTTAATGGCTATTTTGTTAATATAATAATCACATTTCAGTAATAATTTTTGAGCTATTTACTTTTGAATATCATGTCAGAGATCTTAAAACCCCAAAACATTGAATCCTCCTTCGATTCTTGACCCAGTTATGTTTTCCTCCAGTTGTTACCAGAGGGCTGTTTCACAAAAGCAGAATTTAGAAATCCAGGATAAGAGATAAAGCTGGGCTTGTCCTAGTGTGATCAGTGCATCCTGGCTTTATCAGTTTCACAAAGGCCAAACCAGGCTCATGAGGAGTGGCTATATCAAGCCAGGTGAAAGTAATTCAGATAAGTGGGTGTCAATGTCTAATTGAAGAGAATTGGCACTGGCTGGTTACTTCCGGTTTCTGGACTGGCTGCAGTAACACGTCTCTGTCCATGCGGGGGCGCTCGCGTGCAATGGGAGTATGGGGTTTCACCATAGACTGTAAAAAATATGGACGTAGTGTCCGTGACGTCACCCATAGGTTTCTTTTTTTTATTTATTTATTTTTTTTTTTTTTTATTGCCATATAGAATTCAAGTACAAACAATTAAGGCATAGATCAACAATCATACAGTTACATTCGTGCTGATACATCACTTAGAGAAGAAAAAATACATAGAAGAGAAAAAAAAAAAAAAAAAATTTAATAATAAAAATAAAAAAAGGGTGAGGGTCTTATTCCAATAACCTAAACATTTCCAAAACAGAGAGAAATTTCAGGGCTTTTGAGTCCGTCATCCAAAGAAGAGATTTTACAAATAACTTCAAGTCATTCTTCCAACCATTGAAATGGGGTTTGATCTTTACAAATTTACATCTGTGAATGAAGTGTTTACCCAAAACAATCAGATTGTTTATCAAAAAATCTAAGTTTTTATCATTCAAAAGCACTCCAACTTTAATTGAGCTTACATTCAAAGGGAGAAGCGAAATCTCCTTGGCTTGTATCCAACTCTGAAATGCAAGCCAAAATTCTTGTACAACTTCGCATTGAAAGAAAATATGTTCAAGTCTCAATTTCCTTCTCACAAAATCCACACGAATTGTTTTCCCAATTGAATCTTTCATGTAAAAAGGAATTAGATGGATAAATGTCATTCAATATTTTAAATGTCACTTCTTTTGCCTTAGGAAAGATTGGGTATGATAAATACCGCCTCCGTATCCTTTTTGCCTCTTCATCACTGAAATCTTTTAGAACATATTTTCTTTTCAGTTGACCAGGGAAATAATGTTTGGATAACACATTTCTAATAAACTTATTTGTAAACTGTTTACTCTTTAACATAACTCCTTCAATACAAAGAGGTCTCATTTCTGAATGAGAGTTCGAGTACATCACAAACTGTTTAATCATCATTTTCAGGGGTGCTGGGATGGCCTTTAACACTTTATTATACTCTCTCATTGGGCACTGGAAATTGAATTTATCACAAAAATCTCTATGATTCAACAAATCACCAAAATTATCCAACAAATGTGTTAAAGCCCATATTCCTTTTTCCATCCAAGTTCCTAAAAACAAGGATTTTCTATTACACAGAATATACCTGTTGTTCCACAGAGGTGTATTATGTGGAGTAAAATTGTGTTTAAAGATTAGGTTCCAGTACAAAAGAACTTGCTGATGGAAATCAGATAATTTTACAGGGAGTTTGCTTAGATCATAGTCACACCGCAAAATAAAATCAATTCCCCCCAATTTTTGAAAAATTGCATTTGGGATGCTAAACCAAAAGGAATCATTATGACACAAAAAAGAATTTAACCATTTTAGTTTTAGTACACCATTCATCACAGAAAAATCTATGGCATTTATGCCACCCTCTTCGATACTCTTAATCATGTCATTTTTGCGGATATAATGGCATTTACTCTTCCAAATAAAATTGAAATTTATCTTATTTATTAATTTAATCATGTTATTTGAAATTTCTAGAGAAAAGGCAGGGTAAATGGCTCTTGATATACTCTCCATCTTGGCTAGAAGACCCCTGCCAAAAATTGTTAGATCCCTTTGCCGCCAAGAATCCAATATTACTTTACATTTATCAATATTTTTAAGAATGTTTTCTTTTTCCCTTATATCTTTATTTCTGGTGATCATGATGCCCAAATATTTGACTTCTGATTTAACCTGTATGTTATCAATTAAGCGAGCAGGTTGGTCATGTAAAGCTAAGATTTCACATTTATTAGTGTTCAATTTAACACCTGATGCCTTTGAGAACTGACTGACTGAATCAAGCGCTCTGGAAATTTGCCTTATATCTTTAAGAAAAAGAGTCGTATCGTCCGCAAATTGACTTATTATGATGTGCTTTCCCAGGATGTTAAAGCCATCAGAATGGTTCATTTTAATCCTAATAGACAATAGTTCAGCAACCAATATAAATAATAAAGGAGAACAGTTGCAGCCTTGTCTAATTCCCCTCTTAACTGCAAATCGTGAGCATGTGCCATGCTCCAGAGATACACAGCTGTTAATATCATTGTATAGTAGACTAATTAAATTAGAGAATTTAAGTCCAAAACCAAAATGCTTTAAAGTTTCTAAAATAAAGGGGTGTTCAACTGACTCAAAAGCTTTGTAAAAATCTAAAAACATAATAAAACCATTTTCTACAAATAAATGACTGTACTCGATCAAGTCTAGTACCAATCGTATGTTATTATGGATAGATCGTCCAGCCAGAAAGCCAGACTGAGTTTCGCTTATTATTTGTGGTAGGCATTTTTTCATCCTAGCTGCAATAATTCCTGATAACAACTTATAATCAATGTTAAGGAGTGTAATTGGTCTTAAATTATCTAATAATCTTTTATCTTTGCCCTGTTTAGGAATAAGTATTATTAGGCCTTGTTTCATGCTTGTCATTAAATCGTTCTTCAATATGCATTCTTGAATTGCCATAAATAATAAATGCCTGATTTCTTTCCAAAAAAATCGATAAAACTCGGCAGTGAGCCCGTCAGTACCCGGTGATTTATTCAATTTCAAGCTCACATCATCCAATTCTTCTATTTTTAAATCAGACTCACAAAAATATTTAGACGAAACATCAATTTTGGGTATAAAGTCTTTTATTTCATTTAAAAATTTTGACGAATCTAATTGTGAATATGCAGAGGCATAAAGATTATTATAAAATGCAAAAACTGTATTTTCCATGGTTTTATTGTCCTTGCACTCCACTCCATTTATCAATAAACTTGATATTGCCTTATTTTCCTGTCTTCTCTTCTCTAAATTACTGAAATACGAGGTATTCACTTTGCTCGTGATCTCACAAACGCACCTTGAGCTCTTTTGCTAAACATGTCATCTAATTTAACTTGCAATACCAATAATTTGCTTCTTTCTTCATCGTTTAATTCTGTCTTATCACAGTATTTCCTGATTTCCTGAAACAGATTCACTTCCTCTCTTCTTTTCTCCCTGGCCATCTCCTTGCTAACCCTAATAGAACATTCACGAATTCTATATTTTTACAAATTCCCACTTATTGCAAAAACTATCAATTGTCTCATTGTTTTCAGTTTAACTTATTAGTTCTTTTATCCTTGTACAATAATCTTTATTTCTCAACAAACTGGAATTAAATTTCCAGTAGCCTTTCTTTTTACTTATTTTATCAACTGGATTTAATTTAATTTCTACAATACAATGATCTGTTAATGGGGCTTTGGAAATCAAGATGTCTGAGACAAATTCAGTAAGCGACTGATCAACGAGCCAGTAGTCAATTCTGGATTTACAGGTGTTATTAGGTTTAAACCAGGAGTATTGTTTAACTCCTGAATTTAAACTTCTCCAAATATCTATCAGGTGGTTATTATTCATAAAGTATGATTAAAGTGGTGACTGTCAAATTTCGTGGGCCATCTATCTTCCCATTCATCAGGTGACATATTCCAGTCACCCCCATTAAAATAAAGTCTGTTGGATAAATAATTTTGAGCTCTGATAGAGTATTAGTGATATCTTCAAGCATCTGTTTATTTTGAGCAATGGTTCTATAACCATATATGTTAGCTAAAATGAAAAAATAGCCATCAATTTTTAAGACCACCATCAGCCAATGCCCTTGATTATCTGTCCTGTTTGCAATTATGTCCCCTGGAAACCTATTAAAACAAACTGCAACACCAGCAGACTTGTTGGTCCCATGACTAAACAGTATTCGATCACCCCATTGGTTAGACCAAAACTTCACATCTTCTTGGGAAGAATGAGTTTCTTGTAGTAATAGACATTGTGGTTTTCTCCCTTTACAAAATAAAAATAGTGCCTTTCGTTTGACCAAATCCTTTAGACCCCTCACGTTTAGTGAAGCAAATGAAACTGAACAATTGAACATTGCTCAAGATACTGAGAATAACTAAAAACTGTAAACAAAAAAAAAAGTAAGAACTTGCTTCAAAGCTTAAACAAAACAGTAAGAACTTACTTCAAGCTTATTAACGCTGGTTTGTAATACAAAAAAGTCCCTTGACCTTTTAACACACTCCATCTACATTTAGTGCAAGTAGATCAAACCTTCCTTTGCTTAACCAATTTGCCGACCCTCAATGAATCCGTGCGGCCCGCGGAAATAAGCACGCTTTCCATCCCGGCGAGCCTGTTCAATCTGCGGCCACAGTTTCTTCCTTGCCTCCCTGTCCTCAAGCGGAAGCATCTCGGCGAGGCGGACGCCCTTCTCTCTGCACACCAGACGAGGCTGACTCCAGCTCCTTTTTCGCCAGCTCCTTATTCGCCGAACTATTCGTTCCACCTTAAAAATGTTGGATGGTTGTTAACCCCTCCCCCTCGGTTCTTTTGCCCGTATTTCTTAAAGGAACAGTTGTATGGGGATTATGAGCTTGTTGATCGGGCAGCATTTGTCATTTAACAGTGCATGTATATGTATACTCTTGTAAAAATATATTTTATGCCTCTGTAAATGGTGTAAACTACGTGGTAAATTCAACCAGAGGACTTATTTTGTATTTAAGTTCCATCTCTTACTAAATGTATTTTAAAAGAAAGGAGAAAAGTGACATTATGTTTCTAACTGAAAATTAATGTTATGTAATTTATATTCTTTATTAGAATTTATTATATATTTATTAGACTGGAGTAATGGATAACTTCTAATGAAGAATATAAATTACATAACATTAATTCTCAGTTGCAAACATAATGAAAAAAAAAAACAGGAATGTGTGCAGGTGTAGATAATTCATTATTAAATCGAATCTTGCATTACAACATTTTCTGATGTGTTATTGTTTAATTATGGTACCCAGAAAAGTTCTCAAAAAAAGGGGAACATAGAGGTATAGATAAATTCATTATTAAACGAAATCCTGCATTACAAAATTTTCTGATGTGTTATTGTTGAAATATGGTACCCAGAACATGCCCCACCATTGCAACTTTACATATGCTGACAGAGCATACTGGAGGTGTCATTTCTTTATTTTTTTCAAAAGTTCTCAAAAAAAGGCGAACATAGAGGTATAGATAAATCCATCCTTAAACGAAATCCTGCATTATCACATTTTCTGATGTGTTATTGTTAAAATATGACACCCAGAAAATGACTCTCCATTGAAACTATATGTGCCGACAGAGCATACTAGAGGTGTCATTTCTTTATTTTTTCAAAAGTTCTCAAAAAAAGGGGAACGTAGAGGTATAGATCAATCCATTCTTAAACCAAATCCTGCATTTCAACATTTTCTGATGTGTTATTGTTGAAATATGACACCCAGAACATGCCTCACCATTGAAACTATATGTGCCCGCAGAGCATACTGGAGGTGTCATTTCTTTATTTTTTCAAAAGTTCTCAAAAAAAGGGGAACGTAGAGATATAGATAAATCCATTCTTAAACCAAATCCTGCATTTCAACATTTTCTGATGTGTTATTGTTGAAATATGACACCCAGAAAATGACTCGTCATTGAAACTATATGTGCCAACAGAGCATACTGGTGTCATTTCTTTATTTTTTCAAAAGTTCTCAAAAAAAGGGGAACGTGGAGGTATAGATTAATCCATTCTTAAACCAAATCCTGCATTTCAACATTTTCTGATGTGTTATTGTTGAAATATGACACCCAGAACATGCCCCACCATTGAAACTATATGTGCCGACAGAGCATACTGGAGGTGTCATTTCTTTATTTTTTCAAAAGTTCTCAAAAAAAGGGTAACATAGACGTATACATAAATCCATCCTTAAACGAAATCCTGCATTATCACATTTTCTGATGTGTTATTGTTAAAATATGACACCCAGAAAATGACTCTCCATTGAAACTATATGTGCCCGCAGAGCATACTGGAGGTGTCATTTCTTTATTTTTTCAAAAGTTCTCAAAAAAAGGGGAACGTGGAGGTATAGATAAATCCATTCTTAAACCAAATCCTGCATTTCAACATTTTCTGATGTGTTATTGTTGACATTTGACAGCCAGAACATGCCCCACCATTGAAACTATATTTGCAGACAGCATACTGGAGGTGTCATTTCTTTATTTTTTCAAAAGTTCTCAAAAAAAGGGGAACGTGGAGGTATAGATTAATCCATTCTTAAACCAAATCCTGCATTTCAACATTTTCTGATGTGTTATTGTTGACATATGACACCCAGAACATGGCCCACCATTGAAACTATATGTGCCCGCAGAGCATACTGGAGGTGTCATTTCTTTATTTTTTCAAAAGTTCTCAAAAAAAGGGGAACGTAGAGATATAGATAAATCCATTCTTAAACCAAATCCTGCATTTCAACATTTTCTGATGTGTTATTGTTGACATATGACACCCAAAACGTGCCCCACCATTGAAACTATATGTGCCCGCAGAGCATACTGGAGGTGTCATTTCTTTATTTTTTCAAAAGTTCTCAAAAAAAAGGGGAACGTAGAGATATAGATAAATCCATTCTTAAACCAAATCCTGCATTTCAACATTTTCTGATGTGTTATTGTTGACATTTGACACCCAGAACATGCCCCACCATTGAAACTATATGTGCCAACAGAGCATACTGGAGGTGTCATTTCTTTATTTTTTCAAAAGTTCTCAAAAAAAGGGGAACATAGAGATATAGATAAATCCATTCTTAAACCAAATCCTGCATTTCAACATTTTCTGATGTGTTATTGTTGACATTTGACACCCAGAACATGCCCCACCATTGAAACTATATTTGCAGACAGAGCATACTGGAGGTGTCATTTCTTTATTTTTTTCAAAAGTTCTCAAAAAAAGGGGAACGTGGAGGTATAGATAAATCCATTCTTAAACCAAATCCTGCATTTCAACATTTTCTGATGTGTTATTGTTGAAATATGACACCCAGAACATGCCCCACCATTGAAACTATATGTGCCGAGCATACTGGAGGTGTCATTTCTTAATTTTTTCAAAAGTTCTCAAAAAAAGGGGAACAAATAGGTATAGATAAATCCATTCTTAAACCAAATCCTGCATTTCAACATTTTCTGATGTGTTATTGTTGAAATATGACACCCAGAACATGCCCCACCATTGAAACTATATGTGCCCTCAGAGCATACTGGTGTCATTTCTTTATTTTTTCAAAAGTTCTCAAAAAAACGAGAATGTAGATGTATAGATAAATTCATTCTTAAACGAAATCCTGCTTTACAACATTTTCTGATGTGTTATTTTTGAAATATGGTACCCAGAACATCCAACTTTATGTGCCGACAAGCATACTCATACTTTATTATTTCATAAGTTCTCCAAAAAACAAAAAACTTAAAAAAAAAACTAAACAAAAAAAAAACGAGCACATATAGGTGCCGATATTACTTTTTTTTGAAGAAGAAGAACTTGTGAAATGATAAAGTCATATTTCACATACAGTTGCATGTTCTGGGTACCATATTTCAACAATGACACATCAGAAAATGTTGTCATTCATAAAATTCGTTCAATAATGGATTTATCTATGTTCCCCTTTTTTTGAGAACTTTTGAAAAAACACCTCCAGTATGCTCTGTTAGCACATATTTCAATTGCAAGTCATTTTCTGGGTGTCATATTTCAACAATAACACATCAGAAAATGTTGAAATGCAGGATTTGGTTTAAGAATGGATTTATCTATACCTCTACGTTCCCCTTTTTTTGAGAACTTTTGAAAAAATTAAGAAATGACGCCTCCAATATGGTCTGTTGGCACATATAGTTGCAATGGTGGGCCATGTTCTGGGTGTCATATTTCAACAATAACACATCAGAAAATGTTGTAATGCAGGATTTGGTTTAAGAATGGATTGATCTATACCCCTACGTTCCCCTTTTTTTGAGAAGTTTGGAAAAAATAAAGAAATAACACCTCCAATATGGTCTGTTGGCACATATAGTTGCGATGGTGGGCCATGTTCTGGGTGTCATATTATAACAATAACACATCAGAAAATGTTGTAATGCAGGATTTGGTTTTAGAATGGATTGATCTATACCTCTACGTTCCCCTTTTTTTGAGGACATTTGAAAAAATTAAGAAATGACACCTCCAATATGGTCTGTTGGCACATATAGTTGCAATGGTGGGCCATGTTCTGGGTGTCGTATTTCAACAATAACACATCAGAAAATGTTGTAATTCATGATTTGGTTTTAAGAATGGATTGATCTATACCTCTACGTTCCCCTTTTTTTGAGAACTTTTGAAAAAATTAAGAAATGACACCTCCAATATGGTCTGTTGGCACATATAGTTGCAATGGTGGGCCATGTTCTGGGTGTCGTATTTCAACAATAACACATCAAAAAATGTTGTAATGCATGATTTGGTTTAAGAATGGATTGATCTATACCTCTACGTTCCCCTTTTTTTGAGGACATTTGAAAAAATTAAGAAATGACACCTCCAATATGGTCTGTTGGCACATATAGTTGCGATGGTGGGCCATGTTCTGGGTGTTATATTTCAACAATAACACATCAGAAAATGTTGTAATGCAGGATTTGGTTTAAGAATGGATTGATTTATACCCCTACGTTCCCCTTTTTTTGAGAACTTTGGAAAAAATAAAGAAATAACACCTCCAATATGGTCTGTTGGCACATATAGTTGCGATGGTGGGCCATGTTCTGGGTGTCGTATTTCAACAATAACACATCAGAAAATGTTGTAATGCAGGATTTCGTTTAATAATGAATTTATCTATACCTGCATTCCAGATTTTTTTTTCATTATGTTTGCAATTGAGAATTAATGTCATGTAATTTATTTTCTTTATTAGAAGCTATCCATTACTCCAGTCTATTATATATATGTGTGTGTATATACTGTATATATATATATATATATATATATATATACATACATACATATTTATTATTTATGTATATATATATATATATATATATAAACATACATATTCATTATGTATGTGTATATATATATATATATATATTTATTAGACTATTTGCATATATATATATATATATATATACATACATACATATATATTAGACTGGAGTAATGGATAGCTTCTAAAAAATAATATAATTTACATAACATTAATTCTCAGTTAGAAACATAATGTCACTTTTCTCCTTTCTTGACAAATGCTGCCCGATCAACAGACTTCCATTCGACTGTTCCTTTAAGAAAAACGCCAAAAGCACCGAGAGGAGGGGTTAACAACCATCCAACATTTTTTAAGGTGGAACGTATAGTTCGGCGAATAAGGAGCTGGCGAAAAAGGAGCTGGAGTCAGCCTCGTGCACACCAGGGAATCCTTGCATCGTCGCCATAACTCCTCTTTGACAAGTCTCCGGATAAATAAAACAACAATGTGCCTACTTCTGTTATCTTCTTTACGGCCGACTCTGTGAACAATGTCGATTGCTTCTTCGAGCTGCCGCCGTTCCATGTCGGGAGCGATCTCACTGAAGAGTTGAATGACGTCTGCTCTAACGTTCTCGTCTCTTCTTTCCGACAAACCTCTCAGTTTCAAACACCACCTCATCTTGTATCTCTCTTGTTCTCGGATTCTTTCTTTAAGTTCATCATTTTCTTTGGACAAACGCTCGTTGAACTTTTCCAGCTCGTTTATTTTCCCCTTGCATTCTTTTACCTCTTCGGCATTGAACTGCACCGCTTTAGCTAGGCTAGCAACCATGCTGCTACTCTGTTTGGCTTGCTCACGAAGTTGTGACAGTTGCTCATTAAAGTTCTTTTCCAAACTTTGAATGGCTTCCAAAATGGCCAAGTTAGATACCTCACCTTCCCGTCCTAGAGTTTTAGTCTTCTTCCCGGCTGGAATCTTACTTGGAGTTGATGGCATGGAGTCTTTTCTTTTGCTGATTGTGCCAACTTCCATTGCATAGACATGGTCGGAAGACTGCTCTAGAATCTTTGCGTCCTTAGCACTCATCGTAACTTGTTTGTTTCCACTGTCTCCGTCTTTAAATATCAGTCTAGCTGGTTTGATCATACTACATTAAACTTTTAACAAATATTTGGAGTGTCTTTTATAAGATTAAAGTCAAAATTCGGGACAATTTCCTTCTGACTCTCAAACGAGTGACTGATCAGCACGCCATCTTGCCCGGAAGTCACCCATAGGTTTCTGAAGAGCGATTTTGAGGCCTAAAGTGGGCGGGGCTGACCGTCGCCATCTTGGCAGTGCGTCACCTCTCGTCACTACCGGATAAATTAAAATGGGCAAAGAGGCGGGACGCGGGTGGAGCTGAGGTGCTACTGCTATGCTACTGCCGCTGAATTGACAGCTGATTGAAAAAGTAAAGCCAATGGTTAAAGTTCATGTTTTGCCCTTCGAAATATTATAATAGTTAAGACGTAACTAAAAGTGAGACTACTTTACTTTTTTTTATCAACTTTATTAATCTCACAAGGGGCAATTAGTTAAGAGCATATATATATATATATATATATACACAAGTACATTAACACAGATCACACATTTCTCACAACATACAAGCAGTCAACTATGTGCATTGTGATGCATTATTATTCTGCTAGTTAAAATGCATAAGTTACTTACAATATTGCTCTAAGCTTGTGCATGCGACAGTGATTCAAGGCAAGCACACATGTCAGTCGGCATGTCACGTCAAGTTCGTAAAGAGCTTTAATTCAGTCCATTTTACAATCCGATTTTGGCCGCCTCTCAGATGGGTCAAACCAAATATTACCTCAGAACTTCAAGTAAATTAACTAGAAATCCGCGCTCATTCAAGGGTGTGCATCTATTGCATGGACGGAGAGAACGCGCTGAAATCATCAGACATCCATTAGTGCATGCGAGGGAAACAGCTGGAAACACGGCGCTGGTTGTTCTCTCCATACTCAACACGACGGAATCCAACAGCGTGCACGGTCGAAGGTATAATACATGTATTAAATTGTATGAAATAATCCCGGAAAAGCAGATACACAGCTGAGGGTGACGCTAACAGACAGCAGACAAACGACTAGCAGTGAAAGCGGCAGCATGAGTCCACCTGTCACTCAAGTGGCCACGCCCTTAATTATGCAGAACTTTAAGGCTTAAATATAATTTAAACAGATGAGTTGTAAAAAAATTCACCCCCCTCACAGTTGTCATGAAGGGAAAAATGAGCTCTATAGACCAAAGCCACTTTTTGCTCCAGGCTGTAAACATGTTTTTTTCTGCTGTAAAGTTGGGCATTTTAACATGGGGGAGATACAGATTTGACTCGCTTCTGCAGCCTGCCTCAAGCGGCCACTCGATAAATTGCAGTTTCATTCACTTCCGTATTGGCTTCAAGAGAGAGACGGGGAGGTTGCCGCTTGGGGTTTCACTAGCCTGACTTCGTCATACTCATACTCATCAAAGCCCAAGGGAGGAGTTTCAGACTATGAGTATGAGGCGTGTCGTAACCGAACCAGGAAAAAAAAAAACCCTCTGCACTCAATTGGATAGTCGGTAGACCTACAACCAATCAGAGCAACGCAGTAAGTCAACTCCTTTGCATAGCGCAGTTTTCAAATACAGAACGTAGCCTAACTTTACTTATTTTAGAAGTTAAATAACGAGTGTTGCTTCTTTTACTTACTTCTCCATGAGTGCCACCAAAGGAGAAACCACAACAACCACAGGCTTTTCATTACGTCCCATCTTCTTAACGACCGTCAGAGCCAGCTGATAAGTTACACTTTTCCCGAATCATGTAGGAAGGACGCCAAAAATATTTTTCCGATCGACAAATGCCGTGATTGCAGTTCTCTGTTTGTCTATTAAAATGAATGTGCTGTCGATTTATTTTACAAAAAAGGCGACAACGGAATCTATACATCTCAATTCTCCAGCTGCAGTCATCTTTGACAAGCGCTCTTTGATAACGTGATGATTACGTCCTTGCAGATCATCTGTCCATCATCGTATAAAGCCCGCCCTGGCAATTTGATTGGCCCGATCATTTTTTGACTGATCATAATTACTCCTCAATGGATCGAGTCCAGACCGAACTTCCCGACCAAAAAATGTTGTGGGCGGAGTTCGGGCTGGCATCCAGGCTAAGGTTTCACCCCAAGAAATCCACTTTTCTCGGGAAGTAATTTTTTGTCAAGTAATTTTAAAATTGCATTCAAAGGGGAGGGCTAAGATAATACACTCAGCTGAAAATTGCATTTTTAAGTTCACTTATCTGTTCTAAAAATCCGTTCAAAACTGTGATGACGTCACACAATAGCAGAATGCTAGCGTGTTCTGGCCAACAACACCCTAACCTGTAAGAAATCAAAAGGACATAAGTACTCGTTCATTCGACTTTTGGCCTATAATCTATATTGAACTTGTGGAATCAACAATAAAATCTATGTTGATTTAACGACAAGCAGGTGAAAGAGACACATTTAGCCGTTTAGCCCCATAGACTCCCATTCATTCTGCACTCGCCCGTGATCACCTCCAGTGGAATTCTAATGGAACTGTAACCAAGATGATACACAATGGGGCTAATAGGAAGTGCCAAGGCTCTCCGTTAGACGCATAGACAGTAAAAAAAGGGTTAGACGGGCTCTGGTGTCAACAGCTTTCTTCATGAGACGACAGTCCATCACAGATTCATTGATGCTACAATGGATAAGTTGCGTGCGCCATACTTCCAGTGTTGGGTGTAACTAATTACTAAGTAATTAGTAGTAATACTTCTACTTCTAATTACTACTTATACTTCTTTTATTCAACTAATTGAATTACTAAGTAATTAGTTACTGTAAATTAATTACTTTTCCCTTGAAAATGTAAAGTATGGGATTACTCTTAATTTATCTGTAATTTAATTACAGTTACTTCTGATGTAACTGAGGTAAATACTGTGTATAGATCAAGCCGATCTCACAGCGATTCGTATGCATTTTATGAGGTGTCTAAATATTACGACCGCACTTGTACAAATTCGTATGAACTATTGTAAAATATGTATGAAAAAAGTGTGAAATGTCATGAGATCAGACATAAAACAATAGTGGGTTTAACATCAAAATGTATTGTCTGATGCTAAAAAGTATGTTTTTATAATGTAACCTTCTCCTCCTTGGTCATTTTAAGGATAATTCATGCAATTTTATAGTATTTATTTGAAAGCATTAAAACAGCTTCATGTCTATCCTAGTATTATTCAGCTGGTTGAGATTGATACTTTGAAAGTAATTAAAAGTAATTAAATACTTTTTAGAGAGAGTAATTAGTACAGTAATCTAATTACACTGCTGAAGAGGTAATTAGTAACTAGTAATTAATTACTTTTTTAGAGTAACTTACCCAACACTGCATACTTCACACCAAGTGAGCAACATCCTTTAATGGAGACTTGCGAGGAATTGAAGCACATCATACTCAGAAAAGGAAACACTGCCCTGCCGCTATTATAAAGGAGCGAGAAAGGGCATGGCAAACAATAGCGGATCGACTGAATGCGCTACTGAAAACGTCATAATTATACATTCAAGGAGTTACTTGTCTTTTGCTCAGTGGAAGTCAATGTTGTAACGTGTGAATCTGACAGCTGATTAATTTATGTTACTCTTTTTTTGTTACACATCCTATAAATATTTATACAGAACAAACATGACTGGACCAAAGAGGACCTGGCAACAGGTCAAGATCAAATATAAGAACATTTTGCAGACTGGTGAGTGTCTGATCAAATTTTGGGACCCAACAGTCTGCACAGGTAGCGGATGCCACCCCCAGAAAAGCAATAGGCTAACGCTCTTGCAGGTAATTGTCGGGAAAAGCCAATGGGTCAATTTTCACGTCTGAAAGGCCTTCTCAATATAAGTGCTTCATCTTCTACGATGTCACCCAAAAATGGGCATGCCATTGTAAATGCTTTTAAATATGAACATAACAAAGTTGAAGGTGCAGGGAAGAAGGGGGGACCAGTAAACGGTTTATCATTTATTTATTTATTTAAAATGTAAGTAAACAGCAGGTACTTCATAGCCGACTGCCGCCCACACACGGCAACCTAAATGTGGACTGTTGTTTTTAGTGTCGACTAGTAGCAGCTGTACCGTTTAGTCGACTAGTCCTGCACTTCCCTAATTACAAAAGAGGAAAGCTCAGAGGATTATCACTGGAAGAAGGAGGTCATGATCAGGCAAGTGCTTTATGACCTGCGCTAATATTAGGGAAGCTTTCCAGCGTTGGAGATGTTAGAGAACGGGAAGGCCTGAAAGCAAACGCAGAGACGGCGCTTCTGATCCACACGCGAGTAACAGCGGTTCAGCGGATTCACAGAACCACAGTTATGCTGTTGTAATGTTAGCTATTGTAACAGGACAGTTTGAGAGTCTGTTTGTCTGGTGACAAAACAATCAAATCCTGCTTGTAAACTCTTGTATTGTTTGTTCATTTTTTGTTTTTCCCTTGTCGTTGGCATTATTTTGCTTCAGCTATGATAAAGACATAGTCAACAGTGTTTCTCAACTAATGTTCACACTTATTTCCGCTTCAGGACGATCACATTCCTGACAGAATCATAGAGAGGTACATTTTGTGAAACAACAATACGACAACCACTGTAGTTCCAGATGTAAAAAGTTTCAAAATGATTCAAGTTTCAGGTTTATTGTCAGTGGCATGCTCATGAAAAGTCAATAAAAAAAAAATCCACTGAATAATAAAAAAAAAAAAAGTACATTTCATATCCGCGAATCTCCCCGCTCCTCAAGGCAGAGAGCGGAGTGTGTCCCCCTCCGCTGTCGCGCTCTTGCTCAGATGCTCCCGGTAGAGCAGGAGTCGCTCGGCCGTGTGCTGCGTGAGCTTGCTCCTGCGGGCCCGCACAATAGAGCACGCCAGGGGGAACAGTCTCTTAAAACCCCCCGAGGATGCTGGGACGGCCAACCATTTGCGGCAGATGCTCCGCAGGCAAGGGAAGCGGGTCGCTTCTTTCCAGAAGCTTTGAACGGAAACATCTTCCTCAGACAAGGGCTCTGACAGATACTGAGTCAGCTCAGACACGTCAACACGCTCCGGCTCATCACGCCCGGTCTCTCTAGCGGCTTCACTCAGCGCTGACTCCACAACTAAAGATGCCCGTTGTTTGGAAGGGGTGAA